AGAAAGAGAGAGAGAAAGAGAGGAGAAAGAGAGAGAGAAAGAGAGAGAGAAAGAGAGAGAGAGAGAAAGAGGAGATGAGAGAAGAGAGAGGAAAGAGAAAAAGAGAGAAGAGAGAAAAAAAAAGAGAAAGAGGAGAGGAAAGAGAAAGAGGAGAGAGACGAAAGGAGAAAGGAGAGAGGAGGAAGAGAGAGAGAGAAGAGAGAGAGCAAGCGATCTCTCTCTCTCTCTCTCTCTCTCTCCTCTCTCTCTCTGCGTATTTGTACTAATCTATTAATTACTGAAGTATAACAATTTTGTTTTTTTTATTTTGACAATCTAACAAATATTGTTACAGTTCATAGGGTATTGATCACAAACTGATATTGTCTGTGGACGTTAATTTATCCACGACTCCATAAATACCACATCTTTCTGCAGGGGCGCCCAGTGAAAACCAGCGGCGTGGGGCAGTTGATCTACAAGGACACCTCATTCTAAAAAAACAATGCCCTCCTCCCCTAGTTTGTAAACAATTAATTTCTCTGTGCATCAGAAATAGCTTACAGTGTTAAATTTTAGTTACAGTTGAATACAATTTTTATTTTATTTGAATGAAAAAAAGTTCTGCTCCCCAATTAAGTCGGGATATGGGGCAAGTAAAGCCCGCTGCAGCCATTTCGGCTTGTCTCTGCCATTCAGTACAACAATGTTCAACTATTCATATCAGTAGTATTTCTACTTTTCAAGTTGGTGGGGGGAGGAGGCTATAATGTAGTTATTGTTTATATAATTAAAACTGGTAGTAAATAAATTTCTTCACAAAACACTCTGACACAACTAACAATACTACACTTGCAAAACAGGACAAGAGGAGGCACAACCGTGAGGTGTTACCTCTACGGTATATAAAGCAACTTTAAATAAGAAAATAAAAAATAATAAATTAATAATATTATTGATCGTAAACATATGTATACAATAAGTTAATATAGCAAAAGCATATTTATTCATGTAAGCTTGTGGACTTAAATCATCGTCTTCATCTACGAGTAGTTATCTCTGTGTGTGTACAAAGGCACAAGCATGCGCGTGTGTGTGTTCGTTCGTTGATCTACTGCGGGAGCCTAATCTACGTCTGTAGCAAATAAGTTTAGAATTGACAGAGATCATGAAGATAATCTCTTCATTCATCTTAGGATCCAAATAAAGCTTAGATTTTAGTCAACTAAATTATTTTTCTGCATCTGCGCTACTTCATTGCGATGTTAAATAAATACAAGTGAAAGTCAAAAGATTAGTATAAATGCAATTGATCGTACCATGAACTCGAATACATTGTTCATTGTTAATTTGTTGATACATGAATTTTCTCCATTGGTATTGCTTTCTATTTCTGTGTATCTTGTAATGAAATAATTTCTTTAACTAATTCTGCTTTATTATCCGTCATTAAGATACATTTACAGAACAGAACGAGTCATTAGGAGAAGAGATAGAGTACCAGACGCGGAGGGACGAACGCGGAAAGATAGAGCCAGATGTAAAATGATATTTCGGTATCAATCTCCCAGAAAACAGTGTTACTAGTCAACCTGTTAGACCATGTAGTTTACGATATTAATGAATATGATTTCTGATCAATAGGGGGATCGAATTTTGTGTCCAAAATTTGCCATTTTCCGACGTATGATTTCAATACGTTCTCATCTTACGTATGAGCGAGGGAGTATCAAAATACATGACATTATTCGAAGATATTTTCTGACGAAAACGCTGTGTAACGATTTAAGCTAAAATGATACTTCCAGGCGACAATCTCATGATTAGGGAAAACGCGCCCAGGCCGTGTATTCTCGTCAGAAGTAAGGCAAAAGCTGTAAAGACATTGTATAACTTTTCTCTCTCTGAATTCGTCAAATAAAATTCTCTGTTTAATGTGCTGCAATTCGTTGTTGCATTCCTCCTTTTATGTACTTTTTACTTTCTCGCCCTTAGGAATGTAAGAAGAGAACGTACTGTAATCGTGCGCCGGAAGATGGCGAATTTTCGACAAAAAATTCATATTGTCGGGCCGCGGTGTCGAAAATGTGGATAAATCCTGTTCCCTTATATAGTAAATTACGTTTTCTAACACGTGGTTTTGCCGTAATCTTTGATACCGAAAAGTCGATGCAGAGCAAAATGACTCTCTGTCCGTCTGTGCCATCAACCGGTCAGCTGATTTTCATCAAAATAGATATCCCCTATTCGATCAGAACGATCTCGAAGCTTTGGAGTTTCAAACAGACATTTTGATTTTGAGGATACTTTACATTCCAAGCATGTAAAAACATTTTCACTTTTTTTTGAAATGGCTTGGATTTTTTATTAAACTTTGTCCTGGGTTAGCGTAAAGAACGCTATGCCCGCGTGAGTACAGAGAGCGCGGGACAGAGTCCGCAGAGGCGCCCTCCTCTGCCCCGTCAAGGGGAGGTAGCTGCAGCAACACCAAGCTGGAGCCCCTGCCTGGAAAGTGTGTTCTCCCAGTGTCAGTGAAGTGAGAGTGAGTTGAAAAAATATATGAAAATATGCAAGGAGATCAATGCCGGACACAAACCACTCAAAGCTAGATTCTTATCGAAAGAGCCATTCGAATAGGCTTACATATTGTAAATAACACACAATAGCATGCATATTGTAAATAATAACCAACAACGCACATGTTGTAAATAGTAGCAGTAGTATAGATACGTCATGTTGCAGTAATATAGTAGGATAGAATGTATACCAAACCAGACGGCAACAAAAAGTATATATTAGATTAAGAAATAAATATTTGTGTCATGTTCGTTAAAATCCCAGATTTCTCGAAAAGTGCAATTTTTTGGACGACTTCCTACAATTATAATATAGTAGCTTAAGATATTTTTCTTAATGGAATCTATTCTTCTCAGTCAGATTTATAAATTAAGTCATGCTCAATATTTCGAAAATAAGAGTAAGTTTCGTGTAACTTACTCT